GCTCTGGGGCACGGCGGGGACGGACGGGGGCAGAAACAGAAACGCAGCCCCGGCCGCTTGCAGCCTGCGCGGTTTCTGGCACAGAGAGGGTTAGCTGCGGGTCCTGCACGTCACACCTGTTCTTAAACGGCTCGGGATGCGGTAGGAAAGTAGAGAACTTGTTTCCAGCTATGGGAATGGCGGTAATCGGGGTTTAAGGTAGAGATCTGGAAATGCCATGTTGCCCCCATCCCCGTCTTGCTCTCCCCCTCGCCTTTCTGGTCCCTCCTACCTACCGATTCATTTTCGCTTCCAACGCCGATTCCTGCATTTGGAGACAGGTTTCACTTTCCTGCATTTGGAGACAGAAATTGGCCTCCTGGAGAAACTGACGCCATGTGCCACCATGTTTTAAATAAATAGCACGAGAAAGGGAGAACACAGGTATGAAGAGGTGAATATTCATCCTCTTTAAAAAGTCAGCATTTATTTTCTATTAATTAAATTGCCTTTATTTGAACAAAGTCGTTTCCCTCATCCAACTGCACAAAGGTTCTGCTCCTGTCAACCAAAATGTTTTCCCTGAAGCAGTTTTAATGACACCAGGAGCTTAATGAGACTTGGAGGCTCCTGGGCCACGTGGGATGCGCAATGTCCTTGAATGACACTAAGTGGTCGCTGCCGGCTGAGCACGCGCTCCCGGGGGACGATGGGTTACACGGCCCAGCGCCGCACTGCGCTTGGCTGGAAGAGAAGCGGGTAGGCAGGAAGGCAGCAGAAGACTGACCCCTCGGGGGAGTCAGTATGGTCCTTTCAACTGTATAATGATGCTATCTTAAATTGACTGCTGTAATGAGTAGATCTGGAAGAAAACCAAGAGTACTCCCCCCTGGCATCACCTTCTGAGACTGTAAATTCAAGTTGATTATTCATTTCAGCAGGTCAGTGCCAAGGTCACAAATCTGGGTCTGAGCTCTCCTCAGCTGGGATGTATCAGAAATGGCCAGCAGAGAGATGAGGCTTGTGGTATTTATTGGTCCTGTTTAGGACCTCAGACTGACGCTGGCACCCACCCAGGAGATGTTTCTGTGGGACCTTCTGGGCTAAACATACATCCCAATATACAAATCTAAATATACATCTCCATCCCAGGAGAGTGAGCGCCGCAAACCCCCCCCCCAGTAGGCAGCCTGGACAGACATGGACATGCTCCTGCTCCACCGCAGGAAAGCGGGTCCCAGGGGCAGGAGGGGCAGGCAGCTCCCAAAAGGCTTGGCAGCACCCACGCAGTGCCCTGCTATCTCTTGCCAGCTGCTGGGGGGGGCTGGCAGAGAGCTACAACAGCACCTTCCCACCCCAGCCCAACTCTTTCACCCTCCCACCCCAACAGAGGACCCCAAAGCCACCAGCCCACAAGACCTGGGCTGCCGCCAAGGGCTGTCATGATGCAATGGTCATGCTATCACTGCTGCTCAGCTACTCTTCTCGGAAGCCCGTGGCAGGGGATCAAAGCCCTGCCCCAGGGACCATGGCTCTGCAGGGAGAGAAAACACCCGGCAGAGCACACAGCGGGCCTGCAAGGAAGCGGGTTGGACCTCAGCATTGCTGTAGCTGCAGCGAAATGGTATTTGGGAGTGCATGTTCACACTGAATTTTCCCATTATAGCAGCTTTGCCCAATTACATTTGTTCCTTGAGGCACATCCCCAAGGTTTACACACCACGCACAGTACTTAGTCACGTACTCATGACTTCCATTTAGGAAAGACACGGACCTGTTGGAGCGGGTCCAGAGGAGAGCCACAAAAATGATCAGAGGGCTGCAACACCTCTGCTATGAGGAAAGGCTGAGAGAGCTGGGGTTGTTCAGCCTGGGGAAGAGAAGGCTGCGGGGAGACCTTATTGCGGCCTTTCAATACTTAAAGGGGGCCTACAAGAAAGATGGGGACAAACTTTTTAGCAAGGCCTGCTGCAACAGGACAAGGGGTAATGGTTTTAAACCAAAGGAGGGTAGATTTAGACTGAACACAAGGAAAAAATTTTTCATGATGAGGGTGGTGAAACACTGGACCAAGTTGCCCAGAGAGGTGGTAGATGCCCGATCCTTGGAAACATTAAAGGGCAGGTTGGACGGGGCTCTGAGCAACCTGATCTGGTTGTAGATGTCCCTGCTCATGGCAGGGGGGGTGGACTAGATGGCCTTTAAAGGTCCCTTCCATCCCAAAGCATTCTATGATTCTATGCTTCTATGTACCTACTACTGGTGTCATGGAGGAAAGCAAGCATAAGGAGCCCTCTCCGCTTCACATACATCCTTCACTGTGATGCAACTGTATTTTGGGACCAGCATTTTCAAGCCAGCTCCTTTGCTAGAGACAGGTTCAAGGCACCTTTGCAGTGCCAGCACTCAGCATCGCACCAGGGCATGTCAGCTGGCTCGTGCCCTCTCTTTGGGCATGTGAAAGGATGCTCTGCTCTTCTGACTTCTGGCCCAGAGTGGGGTACTGTGTGTTTAAAAAAAAAAAAACCAACACACCCCAAAACTCTGGTTTCACGCCGCCTTTGTTTACAGGAATTTAAACACTCAGAAAGGTGGAAGTAAGGGCAGCCCGGGGCAAGGCAGTTGTGGGGTGTTGTGTAACCGTGCTGTTTGCACAGATCCCCCTCCAGACTGCACACCCTGGGGTCTCAGCCAGAAGAGTGACCCTGGCACCCTGGCATGTCTCATCAGCCCCAGGTGGAGCTCAGCCACAGCCTCTGCCTCAGTTACTGCTGTTGTGGTACCCTCAGTGCTGGCATGGCAAAGCCCCTTCCCACCAGGCACAGCTTACGCCCCCCGAACCTCACGTCCCCATCACACGTCTGCTTCATCATGGTGGGTACTGCCTTGGCTCTCAGCTGACCTACCTGGTGGCATCTGGTAATGCTCAGGGCAGGGTTTTCCTTGCTCAGAGGACTGTTTTTCTTCCATTTTAATGCAGATTGCCTACAGGACAGATAGACAGTGACTCCAGGTTGCTGACTGCCTCCCACCACTGCAGTGACTGGTCTAACTGATGAAAGCTGGTGAGGATAACTCCATGAGAGACATGGGCTGACTGGTCACTAGTTGAGGACACAGCATTTGCTGACGGTTTTCCCCTGATTTGGGGAAGGTGATTTCTTTGCATGGCCTCATCCAGACACGTTCATCCATGCCAAATCCTGATATCCTCACCCGTTGCTCAGTTTGGCAGGGTTGATATTTATATAAAGCATCATGCTGGAGGGTCCCTGCATAGGCCTGCAAATCCCAAAGCTGGAGTTCCACATGCAGCAAAAAGAAATCTAAATATTCTAAATATGAGAGAGGGTGAACAGGAGGAACCCATCAGCCAATACCGCCAAGGTGACAAGAGGTAGTCTCAATGGCCATCACTTTCTCCAACAGGTTTGGAGGTAGCCCTCAGCATTTCCTCACACGCTCACCCAGCTGTGATGAGGAGAAGGATGCTCTGCATCTCCCCAGAACCAATCCGAGCCATAAGGACTAGACCAAAGCTTCAACGGTTTGAACGAAAAATTTGCCCAAATAGTTTTCCTCCTTGTTTAGAGGGGGTTTATAACTCGAGGGTTTATAACTCGAGGGAGGACTCTGCAAAAACTGAGCTGCAGGGCTCTGCCTCTTGAGCCAAGGCACTTTAACAGACTGTTTCACTGAGAAATCTAGAGCAGAGCAAAACAATAATCTTTATTATCTTTATTCTGGCTGGATATTACATTTGCAGTGCATCTTATTAATTTGCAGGGCTGAAAGCACCATCATTAGCAACCTGCTTACCTGATGACCAGCCTCTCTGAAGATAATGAGTGGCTGTTGAAAAGCGAAGTCCTCACATGCCTAGCATCCCCACTGTCTAATTTTTTAAAACCGTATTTCTCACCTATTGAAGGTCCTTACCCACCACTTACAATTCTCAGGACAAAGTCTGCGAGTAATATATGACCACATAGGGGCTTATAATGGTGTAACTGGATGTAGTGTTTCTTCGCTGTTCATGAAGCTGGGCGCAATGCTCCAGACACAGTCCCACAAGTGCCAGGTAGAGGAATCAAGATTAAAAGACTTTCAAGAGCTGGAAAAATCAAACTTTCCAATCAGCTGGTCATCGGTGGTCAGTAATGTGGAAGAGCACAGCTGATTTTGGTGCCTTCCTCAGGCACATTGTGGAGCTGGAGTAGCAAGACCCGGCACTGCATTCACACGTGTGCTCAAGAACATTGTCACTCGTCCTTTCTGGTAGCACCACTGTCTTGTTT